GAAGGAATAGGGCTGGTGTGGAGGGTGGGCTCTCCCCAGCCCTCCTCCCTCCATTCCCCCAGCAGAGGCGTTTCCCAGACTTCAGAAACCCAGGAATGGGAAAGTTGTGAGCAGGGGCTGGCGGTGGCTTTTCCTCTGTGAGCCGTGAACAGCCGTGTCACCTGGACAGGGAGACAGGTGCCGGTGACCCTGGAGCTCTCCCTTCTATCACAAAGAGGAAGGGGTGAGCGGAGCGGAAAAAGGTCTCTGGGAGATGTGGGGACCCGGGGCTTTACCACTGCGAGGGCATGAGCCCCTGCGAGGAAGGGTAGATCTGCAGAGGAAGGATGGATGGTGGAAAGAGCCCTGTCCACCCCTCTCCTCTCGCGATGAATGAAGCCAGGCCTCGGGGGACAGCAGAGCCCGGCTGCCCTTCCTAGTCCCAGCAGCTGTGGGAGAGGCGCTGCTCTGGGGCCTGAACTGCATCTGCTTCCCCGGCCGAGGGATCCCTCACTCTTACCTACCACCCTGGACTGTTGCACGGCAACCGCTCCTCTCATGGCATTGCTCAGCAACTCCGCCTCCATCTTGTGCCACCCTGTGCCCCTTCCTGTCCCCTATACCAGCCCTTGGTCCTTCCTCCCTCAGCAGCCAGGCAGACATAACAACAAAAATACTAAAAGGAGCTTCACTGCACTGAGCTGTTTCCTGCCCAAACTAAGGGAATAATGTGAACTCTGTGCGCATGTGTGTGTGTGTAACTGTGTGTAAATGTGTGTGGGTGTGTATGTGCTGTATGTGCCTGTGTGTCTGTGTGCAGGAGAAACAGAGAGGGATGGAGGAGGAGGGCCAAGGACCCGGGGTCCTGGGCAGGTGGACGGGGCGTGGAGCTTGGAGAGGAGCTTTGGGAGTGGAGGAGTCCTGGTCAGGGTCTGTACCTCACCTGGGATGTTGCTCCATCCGGGTCTTTTCCATGCTACCCCCCAATGCCCGTCTGTTTCAGAGAAAACAGTCCCAGGATGTGTTTTTGCCCAGCTGTTCATCTCATCTCTCCCTGAAACACAGAGCATCCAGCCCCTCCCTCAGCATCCCACCTCCAAGCCATGGAGTCAGTGTCACAGCCTTTGCTATGCACCCCACAGGCCTCTCCTTGGCACTGACCCCGGATTCCCAGCTGTGGATACCCATAGGTCTGGGTCCCCACCCCTGCTTTGGGTTTTCGGTTTTCCTCCTGTGGCCAAGCTGGCTGCTGTGGAGATGAGGCTGCTCACCCTCCTTGTGCTGCCAGGCCTGCCCCCCCCCCCCTCAGACCCCGGATGCTCTTGGCCATTCCCCTCCCCCTCTCCAGCATGTCCTCCCTGCTTTGACAACGGGCGTGCAAAATGGGACATCTGCAATCCAGCAGGTCGACCCACTCTTTCAGTTCAGGTAATACCTTTGTGAATCTTCCAGCCCCTGGTTAGGGCCCTGGGCACAGCAGGCAGCCTCCCCCCTCACCTAAGCCAGGGCCCCCTCCTCTTTCAGCAGCAAGGGAGCCTGGGGCCCCAGGTCTCTTGGGCTTCCTGTCTCCCGGCACCCGCTTTTGGGAAAAAATGATTTTTCCTCTTTGAGCTGAACCACTCTGTCCATATAACACAGAAGCCATATTTGTACGGGGGCGGGGGGAGCGGGGCTGTTGTGCTGTGTGTGTCTGTCCATGGGGGGGGGGGGGGCAGGGAGCAGGGAGGGGATCGTGTATCTTTATAATCTTTCTAACTCTCCTGTGCTAATCTCAGAGGGATCACCCTCAATATATCTGGATTACCCGTGTCGTCCGGCTGCCTCCTTTCTGCGGCTGTCACCCTGCAGGGCTGCGAGTAGCCAAGGGCTGTTCCGGAATCCCTTGCACCTTGCACCTGCCATCTCCAGGGGCTGCCGTGTCCTTGCCATGTTCTCTCGAGAGCCTCTATGTCTGGAAACAAGGGAGACGAGTGTCTTCACCCCCTTTTGCTGGGTCCTCCCTTTCCAGGGAGAGTTTGGGGTGGGACATCTGACTGTTCCCCCAGTCCTCTGCCTGGCCCTTGGGCACCCTCAACACTGTCCAGGAAGGAGAGTGACCCGATCATGGCCAAACTTAACTTTCCAGCCCTCCTCCTGTTCAACTGAGACCCTGTATCCTGGGAGATCATGGAGGCATTTCTACAAGGTCTGAGGTGTTTTGCCCCCAAGTACCCCTCTATGTGACTGAGATAAAGGTCCTGGACAGAACTGGAGTTAAAACATTCCATGCTTTCTTGAAAAGATGAATCCCAGTGTCCCCTGTCCTGCTTCTGTCTCACTGTTCTGACTTGGACGTTCTATGACCCATGCCTCCCCAAATGCAGGCTACAAAGCCCACACTGAAGAAATAAAATGCAGAAAGGGGGTGACGAAATAGCAGAGATCCTGGGAAAGCAGCCGAAGGAGAAGGGCCATGGGCTCAGGAGCATCTGCCTGCAGGGAAGATGCCCTTGGTTTCTGCCATCCAGAGAACTAGCAGTTCCACTCCCCGCTGTCCCCCAGAAGAAACCTTACTTATTGCTGAGATGTCAGGCCAATGAAGCAACCCCAGAACCCTTATGTCCCCAACAGAAACATGAATAGAAGTCACCCCATGGGGTAAAAAATATGGTGTCTCATTGTCCCCAAGAGCCTTACTTGAACATGGCAGACCAAGCGCTCTGCTTGGTGTGGAAGAGACATTCACTGAGCCCATAGGTGGTGAAGCAAATGCTCCGTCAGTCCCCAGAGGAGGGTCATGATTCGGCCTTGACAGCTCCTTCAGTCTTCCTTCCCTCTCACACCAGCACACCACACCTCAGATAGCCATTCACACTCCCCAGACACCGCCAACACCTAACACACACTCAGATGTGGAGCACATGGCTACATCTCTCTCTCTCTCTCTCTCTCTCTCTCTCTCTCTCTCTCTCACACACACACACACACACACACACACACACACAGAGGTAAATTGTTCTACCTAATACACACAAAGAGCCCCCCACCTAAATGCATACCCCCACCCGAGGCTGGACAGATCCAACCCCAAGCACCATGAACACACCTTCCCACACACCCGTGGCTTTGGAACTCTCTCCTTGGATTCTGTCCAAGGGGCTGGGCAGCACTGAGGTCATCTGCTGCCATGGCTCTCCAGCTTCCCAGCTCTTCTCTTATCTCTGCCCCTCAAGCCGCCCCTGGCCGTCTCCTTTCTTCCTTCCTTGTGCTTGAAGAGTCTCCACTTGCTGGAAAGCCCCCAGGTTTCTCCCTTTCCATCTTCGGGAAAATGCCCCCTTTCTGGTGCTGGCCGTGGTGTTTTCCTGAGACTGTCTTGACCTGCCAGATCCAACCTCAAAACAGGAAGCCTGGGGCCAGGGCCCCCATGTGGACCTCGGGCTCAGGCAGGCAGTGGGCGTGGGGGTAAGGCTTCCTGAGCGCTGCCCCTGCCCCCGTGGCCCTGCCCAGAGCCCGAGGGCCTTCATTAGGCCTCAGCACTTATCTTGGAACCACAGCTGCAGACAGAGTGTCCCAGCCCTTCTCTCGGCCTGCCCTGAGCGCACAGTGCGATGGGGAACTGCCTGCCCCGGGTGAGTGGGAGAGCCCCTCCACCACTGCCTGCCTCTTGGCCCCATGGCCCTGCGTGAGCCCCGAGCTCCTTCCTTTTCTCCTGTCTCTTATCCCCCTCCTCGCTCTATCTCCTCTTAACAATCTGCTTCCTTCTCTCCTCCTTACCCAGTCTCCCCTGAACATCGTTTTTCCTTTCCCTTCATTTCTCAGCCAGTTCCATCCAGGTCCTGGATGACCCTGCCCTCTGCCTTCTGTTCCTCGGGTCCTACCCCTTCCCTGGCTTTTCCACACCCTGTCCCTGCTTGGGCTACTCGGCCTCCCTCAGCTCTCCTTCTCCACCTCCCTTCCCAAGTTCCCCGAGGTGCCAGGAGGCTCTGGGTGGGGTTCCCGGATGCTCTGATGGCCCCCTCTGCTGCGTGTTACCCTCCAGGTGGAATCCTCACTCGCCGAGAACAGAAGTCAGTTGTTTTTTGAAAGCTATGCTTGGAATTATTCCTACGGTGAGGAATCCTATGAGGACATCTACATCCCGGATGCTGTCGCCCCCTGCCACTCCTGTAACCTGCTCGATGACTCCTCGCTGCCCTTCTTCATCCTGGCCAGCATCCTGGGCATTGTGGCTAGTGGCGCTGTCCTCTTGGCACTTTGCAGATCTCTCTTCCACTGGCAGCTCTGCCCCAGTTGGCCGATCCTGGCCCAGCTGGCTGTGGGAAGCGCCCTCTTCAGCATGGCGGTGCCCATTCTGGCCCCAGGGCTAAACAGCGCCCACAACCCTACCCTGTGCCGCCTGGGCTACTGGGCCTGGTACAGCTCAGCCTTTGCCCAGGCTCTGCTGATAGGGTACCACGCCTGCCTGGACCCTAACCTGGGGACAGGCCACACCTGGGGCCTCACTCTCGGCCTCTCTGTGGGGCTCTGGGGAGCGGCTGCCGTATTAGGGCTGCCAATCACCCTGGCCACGGACACGTCCTATGGCCTGTGCACCCTGGCGTCCAGCAGGGGCCTGGGGACTTTGCAGTCCACACACGCTGCAGTCTGCTTTGGCATCTTTGTCTTGCTGCCCCTGGGTTTGTTGGGAGCCAAGGGGCTGCAGAAGGTGTTGTACAGGGGGCCATGTCCCTGGATCAGTGTCCTGTGGGTCTGGTTCGTTTTCTGGTGGCCTCACGGGGTAGCTCTGGGATTCGACACCCTGGTGAGGTCCAAGGTCTTGCTGCTGCCAACGTGTCTGGCTCAGCAGATCCTGGACCTGGCCCTGCACCTGGCAGAAGCCCTGGCCATACTGCACTGTGCCGTGTCTCCCCTGCTGGTGGCCCTGTTCTGCCACAAGGCCACCCACGCCTCCTTGCCCTCCCTGCCCCTTCCTGCAAGACAGTCTTCTCATCCGGACACTTTTGAAGGCAAATCCTCCCTCCCTTCCCACCTGTCAGCCTGAATTAAAGTTTACACGGCTTTTATGAAGTGAGTAGTTTCTGATTTTGTCTGGGGATGAAGAGGAGAGGACGGAGAAGGGAGAGAGAGCAGGACATTTCCTGCCAGATGTTCCTGGCAGCATCTGTTTCGTGAGCCGGCCTGGGGAGAAAGGGAATGAGGTCTGAACATCCTCAGGACACACACATGTCTTCTTGAGGTGTGAGGCTCCTGCCTTCTCAAGGGGGAAGAGAGGAGAAACAGGAGCACGATGGGAGCAGATGAGCCCTGGAAACCAGAAGACATGCTTAATAGGTAAACAAAGAAAAGAAGCTCGTGCAGAGAGCAAAGGGGATAGGAAGAAAAAGTGGAAAAGCTAGGAGCGGTGGCCCATGCCTGCAATCCCATCTACTGGGGAGGCTGAGGCAGGAGGATCACAGTTTGAGGCCAGCGTCTGCAACTTAGTGAGATCCTGTCTCAACAAACAAATGAACAAAAAACTAAAAAGGACTGGGGATGTAGCTCAGTGGGAAAAGGGTCCAAAAAAAAAAAAATAGAAACTGGAGAGAGAGAAGAACAACAATAAAACCAGAGGTCTATTTCCTCTTCCCTGTTCACCATGTGTAGACTCCTCCTCTGTCTTTTATCTCCTCTCTGGCTTTGTTTAGAGATCAGGGCAGGTGGGGAAGGAGGGAGAAGTATCCTCAGAGACGATTCTCAGTCCAGGGTGAGGTTTATTCTTGATTCCTGTGTGTGTGTGTGTGTGTGTGTGTGTGTGTGTGTGTGTGGTGTACATGTCTGTGTCTCAGTCTGTTAGAATCTAAATGCATTTTCGATGATGCCTGTATGTAATAACACATTTCTTTACCTGTGCTTGCGGGTGGGCCGGTATCTGAACCCTACGTCCCTGTGTGCGCGCACAGACTTCTCCAGGGTCCCTCTCCCCACTTACTTCTGTGACCATCCCCATTCTCAGGGAACGGAAGCAGATTGCAGGATTTACTCCTTAAACAAATGAATTACCCAGTGTCCGCCCCCCCCCCCCCCCCGATGTAGAGGGAGGAAAAATCTACAAGTCATGAAGAATGGAGAAACTTAAACGGGGAGGCCCTAATCTGATTCATCTATATGAAATCCCCTAGAATTTCCCTTTCAATCCCCAGTTACTGAATTAACGTTTCTTTCCCACACAAACCTTTCCTCCTACTTCCCACAAAATAAATACCCCAAAGTACAAAGCCCTCTCTTTCCCAGATAGGCCCCTGATCCTCTTGCTGTTTAAATATGACCTCGGAAGCTTCTGCTCACACTGTATCCAGCCAAGTTTAGGTGACGATTGGGAGGGGAGCAAGTCCCCTCTTCATATGGGGGCACAACCTCTATTGCCAACAAATTCACCTCTTCCCAGAGAAGCCACAAAGAGCTCCCCCCACAACCCAACTGAAGGCTGGGAACACCTGAGCAGGGCAGGGCCCTCCCGTCTGTCTGAGCCTAGTTACCATCTTTCCATTTTTTCCCCAAAACAGGTCCTGCCTAGTTGCTCCCTGAAGCATTTCTGCTTGACTCTGGGTCTGGGGATAAGTAGGAGGTATGGGAGGGGCAGCAGAGAGGACAGAGAACATGTCGGGCAGGAGGGTCCAGAAGGCCCAGGGAATTGTCCTGGGTGGGTGCTGTGACAAGGCCTCTCAATCTCCCACCTCCGGTCTCTTAGCAACCGCCAGGTTTAGCTCCGGATTGGTGCAGCCCAAATTGAGAGGCGGGATCCGGGGACGGCTGGAGACGCGGGAGACATTCTGAAACAGAAAGACAAGAGAGAGAGAGAGAGAGAAATGAAGAAAAAGGAACGAGTTTACAAACCGAGATTATGCTCAGGTAGATTCACCACCGTCGGTAAATCTCTCCTGGTTATTTTTGGTTTTCTCCTGTTCCCTTTTTAGCCTCCTTCCAAAATCCCCCCTGTAACCTCTGACCACTCTCTCAGTCCTGCCAGATGTTGCCCTCCTCCCTGACCAGGGGCCGGATTTTTGGAAAGGCTGACCTAGTTGAGGGGAAGGAGAGGCTGTTTTGGATTTCCAGAAGTTTCCAGCCTTAACCTGATGGGAGGAAGGCTTGGTTTCAGACCACCCCCCACCCCCAGCCCCACCAGCGCCTACAGACACAAGTCCCTCCTCACTTGTCCAGGTAGAGAGAGAGCCCAGACTCTTGGGGAGTAGCTTGTCAGCTATCGCATCCCTCACCAAAGAAAGGCAGAAGCAGAAGCCGGTCACTGATAAGAGGTCAGAGTGGGTTGGAGACTGGCATCCCCACGGTTATCTGCCCCTCATTCCCACCCCTGCTGGCTTGCCCTGGTCCCTTCAGGGGCTGCCCTTTCCCTGCCATTATCTATCTATCCTTCTGGATGGTTCTTTCTTACATCCAACTCTGACCTCAGCCATTTCTTTAAAGCTTTCCAGGGGACCGGCTGCCCCTGCCCATTTAACTCACTGCATGCCACCGACCACTCTAAAATTGGCCTGAACCTGGCATCTCTTCTGCGACTCTTCAGGAATACAAATCCTGTTTCCTTAGAACCCTTAAGAATTTAATCTGAGGGTTGGCAGGGACTTTAGCGGTGTATGAGTTATGGGGCCTCCTGGCTAAGCAAAAAAATCCTCTCAGAAAGATGAGAGCCATGGAGGCTAGGTCTGGGGAGTACACAAAGCCCTGGGGAGGGTCAATTTGCATTAAGGAAAGGGGCTTGTTTCTTGAGGGAAGTTTAAAAATCATGTCGAGGCTCATAATTCATGTATTTCAGGCTGAGGCTGCTCCCGGAGGATCCAGGAAACGAATGGCTGGTCCTCACACCTTCTTATCCACCTTTATCTCCCTATCCTCCATCCCCACCACCACTGTCTTCCTGCAGCCACTCCCAGAGGGATTCTGATTGAGAACTTCACTGGGATTTCAAACCCAATTCATCGCCAACTCTAATTGCCAGGGATTTGCATGAAAACCATCGTATGCTATCTAATTATTCTGACAACCGCAGCCCGCCGTCTGGGCACAAGGAGAATCGCGGTTTTAATTAACAATAATGCACCTTGCAGATGAATGTGACTGTTTAGGTTAATTAACAAGTCCAAGTCCTTCCAAATCATCTCCAGACATCTAGGTGATTTGGGCAGGAGGGGTGTGGGACACACAGTGGAGTAAGGAGTATTTAGAAATCAGTTCAGCAAAAATGTCTGTTAGCTGTCATCTCTCCCTTAACAATCGGAGACAGGAAAGAGGGACTCTCCAAGGGGTGGCCTCTGAATAATTGGTTTAGAAGAATTTGGTGCCAACACTTTAGGGGGATACATCAGGTATCCTTGTATTTATTGCACTTAGTTTTAGGACATCTTTTAGATGCACTTTTATTATAATTCTCAAATACCTATAATTCTCAAATACCTATAATTCACTGTCTGGTCATTTGCAAACTTGGTTTCTAGCATTTACATCAGCACGTACTTATCCCGCCATTTCTCCCCTCCCATATCTGGAGGCACTTAAAGTTGCCTGCCCCTCAAGATTTCTATGATAATGTCTCAAGTCCCACCTACCCCAAGGATAATTGTGTTTTTTTCCTGGGTAGTTCTCAGTGTCCTGGAAGAACATATTCTATGTAGCTCCAAACTGTATCTTCTGACTTTTTAGTTTTTCTAATAGCCTGAGCCTTGTCTTCTGTCTTTAAATCAAGTGTTACTACTATTTAGAAGGAAGAAGGGAGAAGGATTATATACCTCTTAGAAAATCTGGTGTTAGTTGTCAGGTGTGGTAGTGGATGCTTGCAATACAGTGACTCTGGAGGCTGAGGCAGGAGGATTGTAAGTTCAAGGCCAGCCTCAGCAACTTAGGGAGATCCTGTGTCAAAATAAATAATAAAAGTGAAAATGGGTTGGGGATGGAGCCCAGTGGTAAAGCATCCCCGGTTCAGCCTCCAGTAAAGAAAAACTGGCCAAAGTTTCTCTTTAAGAAAATATACCCAAAATTTGACATTTAGTTCCTCCCTACTATACTTAAAGGTAATCTCAAGTGCTTTGCTCTCTCTCTCATAGGACTTCTGCGATCAGCCCATGACTCTTGCTCACTAAGCTTTATGCCTGGTGGAGACTTTTTGGTCTTACAAATGGACAAATTTGTTCTCTAAGAGTCTTTGCACATGACATCTCTTCAATCCGGAACTCTCTGTCCTGTGCCTTCTGTGCGAGTTGCACCTTCTTATCTTGGGTGTCTCAGTGCAAATATCAAGTCCTCAAAGACAGAATGTGGCCCCGGTCACCTTGTGCACCCACTTATTCCCTACCAATGCGCTCAGGCGGTGTCCTTTGCAGCATGCACTCCTGTTAGAATCTGTCTTGTTCGCTCATTTATTGGCTTCCCGATTCACTGCTTGCCTTCACCACTAGAGCATCAGCTGCATGGGAACAAGACCCTTTTCTCTTTTGTGGCTGGTGCATAGTCAGAGTTCAGTAAACGTGGGATAAATATATTTATGAACTGAATCCCTATGAATAAAGCATGGCTCCACCTGCTAGAAGGGCCCCAGTCCAGTGGGGAACAGGAACAAGCAAGCAAATAACTGGTGCAGAAAAATGTTGCAAAGTGACTTTCTTTCCCTAAGTCCTCTAGGGCATCTCTCTCTCATGTCATCCAGTTGTTTAGGGCAGAAAAGCCTGAAGGACTGTCAGGACAAGGTTTCTGGTCCATGAACCTGCTTTCTGTGTCAATTTATGGCTGGCAGAGCGAGGTGGGGGGTCGGGGGCAGATGGGACTTCCCCACAGTTCCTGAGCATGTGTTGGAGGAAGAGTCCTTTCTTCTCCTTTGGGGCCCTGCCGGGCTTGGGACAGCAGGGGAAAACTGGGAAGGGCTGTCATGTTTCATCTGTACTTGAGGAAAAATGAGTCACAGGACACTTCCCCAAATTCTAGGAGACTTCTGTTGGCCCAGAATCAAATTTAGAGTCCAACCGCCTCCTCTGATTTCATCACGCTCAAAAAGAGAACTACACTCCCTTGAAACTAAAGGTCATTTCAGTCTCCGTGTTGATTTTTTTTCCTTCAGTTTCCCCTTAGCTTGGGCCAGCCTTACCCCTTCCCCACCTCTGAACCCAGTCCCCTTTCACCTCCTGGCCTCTGTCGCCCCCCTGTGGCAATCTATCTTCCTGCAGTTCTGGGTACTTGGTTAACCCTTTGAGGCACTTAAGGGTATACAGTTCGTGTCACTTACAGAAATTATTGCCCACTAAGTTGATGATGCTGTGAGAAGTCCTGAAAGAGGTAGAAATAAGTCAGACGCAATTCTAGATATCAGCATCTCCCTGAACCTATCTTGGGTCCTCCAATCCCTCCCTTCTTTCTTCGGTTCTCAAGATTTCCTGGTCTTCTCCAGGACAACCCTGAACATATGTGGGTCCCAGGACATACAGGAGAACCTCAAAGCCCTCAGGTACCCAGACTTTCCAGATGAGTCTTCTATTTCATGGGCAATACCAAAGCTTCAGGGTCTTCCCTGACCCCCACGGTAATGGAGATTGAGCCTAGGACTGCTCTTGCACTGAGCTACATCTCCCAGCATTTTTTAGTTTATATTATAGCAGCGTCTCACCCAGGATTGCCTTGAACTTGCTATACTCCTGGCTCAGTCACAGGAGTAGCTAAGGATTACAATGCCCCACCATACCCACTTAGAGAATATTTTTTTCTAGGAATGTTCTTTATGTGCAGGTGCAGAGATGGTAGAAATGTAAGGGGGGATTTCCAAGATGGTTGTGCTACATTCTAGGTACAGATACACTGAAAAAAATTACCCAGAGAAGAGAGAATAGGCATGGAACATTGGAGTAGAAAGTTCTGTTCATCCAGTGTTCAGGACTAGGAATACCCGTGGGAAGAAATAATAGGGAGACTGGTTTTGGCTGAATGTTAAGAAAAGCTTTTCACAATTGAATCTGTGCCACAAGTATGGGCTTTTACATTCTTGCTAATGGAAGGAAAGAAGGAAGGAAGGAAAGAAGAATGGATGAATGGGTGGATAGATAGATCGATCTATCGATAGATAGATAGATCAATAATTGGTCGGTTTATTCCTGTCTGAGATCTGAGAAAAAAGTGGACTACCTCTGTCCTCAGCCTGGAAGCTGCCAAAAATACAACCGTGCTTCTCTTCCACCTCATTGTCCTCTTCAAGCCTTAGAACAACACAGCTCTCTTCAGAGACTTGGTTGATGGATAGGGACTATCCACGAACAGTTTTGGGGAATATGAAAGGAGCAAGTGGGGGAAGGTCACTGAGCTAGCAAAAACTGCAGAAATTAAATAAAACTTAATAGAGATTAATGCAAAACCTACATTTAAAAAAATCAATTGCACTAAGTGCAATGGAAAAGGCTTGGCTCAACAGAAAGAAGTTCTTGTAAGAGAGACTTAGAGGTTTCACTTGGCTACAGGCTAACGATGATTCAGTGGTATGTATGGCAGCCAAAAAGCTGATGCAAATTCAGCCTGCATTAAGGCACAGCATACGGGACAAGGGAGCGTGCAATACCACCCCTGCCCTGGACAGGACATGTTTAGAATGGAGAGCTCAGCTCTGGGACCTGTGTGTTGAAAGAACCACTAACAAATTAAAGCTCTTAATAGGTGGTGGCCAAATTGATGATAAAATAGAGCTCTGCTACTGCTAGCTATAAAGCGGGGCTGAAGGAGCGAAGGTGTGTGTACGGGTTGTGGGAGACTTACACTGGAAGAGTGCAGGAAATACTTAGCCATCTTTAAATAGCTGAATAGTTGTGCTGTGGAAGAAGCATTAGACGTGTATATGTCAGAACTAGGATCACTGGATGGAAAGAAATAACAGGGAGACTTGTTTTGGCTGAATGTTAGAGAAAGCTTTTCACAGTTGAATCTGCTGCAAGGATGGGCTGTCACATTCCTGTTAATGGAAGAAAGGAAGGAAGGAAAGGAGGGAGGGAGGAAGAACAGGTAGGTAGATAGATAACAATGCATATAAGAACACCATTGCTCTACACTGATCTATGTTCTTGTTTTACAGTGGCGAACATAACATGTGTATGTCTTGCCCTTGTGGACTTTAGGGACCAATATGAA